TATGTATGTGTATATCTATATATATATATATATATATATATATGTGTGTATACGCAAGACAAACTTCAATGGATCATTGTTCTTGGTATTTGTTTTCTGATACTCATGATAACGGTTTTAAGTAGTAATGCTGATGTCTTTACATGTAGATCTACTGTCGCAGGATGCGGATGAGCATGGCTCTAGAAGTCATGGGCCAGCATGGCAAAGATGTTCGTAGACTCTTGCCCGAACTGTCGAAATCGGCCTACATTGCATCCTGATAGTGGGCATGTGAAACCCAGAACTATCGCCAACGGGAGTACATACATTCTATCTTAGCGATGCGTCCCCCCAGATCGTTCCGCTGGCCTGTGATTCCGCACGCCATGTCGCGTACCATCATGTTTAGCGCAACGAATACCAGTCTCAGACAAGCCCAGAGCGTTCCGCAGGCCTGGGATTCCGCACGCTATTGCTGTAGCGCAGTCCCGAGCCAATCAGCAGTGGATTAAACGAATTGCATTAGATGAGGGTTGCCTCAATCCGCGGAACATATGTTTAAATCGTTACATAACAACAGAGACAAACATGGCTGTATACCCTTATGTATATACACATACATCACTGCATGTATACATAGCAGACCTACATATTTACACATGTCTGTATCGACATCTACGTACACGTACGTACACACATCCATATATATGTATATATGTATATATACATATATTGTTCACAGATCTGTTTACACATATATATATATATATATATATATATATATATACGTGTGCGGCGTGGGGGGAACAGGGCTCCGAGCCCCAGTACCCCGGCGCACCCTCCCACATTCCCCCTCCCTTTTGAGCACCCCACCCCCCTCGGGCGCCTTCCAGGCCCCCCCCCCCTTGGCCGCCCCAACACCATCCGGGGAGCACGGATTTGCGACGAGAGCGGCGCAAGAGGGCCGAAGACGCTCCGAGATGGCCTCCAGACGGCCCAAGAGGCCTGCAAGAAGATGCCATAAGAAGGCTCCAAGATGCCCCCCAAGAGCGACCCCAGATGGCCAAATCATGTAGTCATCTGGCCAGATGGCCAGATGACTAGATGATTTGCACCTTCGCTTTTTGCATCTTCATGGCTTCCACGGCGGCCCCAGGGGCCCAAAGATCGCCCCAAGACGGGCCAATGAGCACACAGGAGGGCCCCAAGACGGGCCAAGAAGCCTCCAAGATAGCCGCACGACGGTTTCGGAGAGCCCTGAGAGCCCCAAGACGGCCAACGAGGTGCCCAAGACGGCCCAAGAGGGCCCCAAGAGAGGCCCAAGAGGGGAAACCCGAACTCACATATCGAGCCCTCCGACGCAAGTGGACCCCCGAGACAGCCAGCAGGCCCCCAAGAAGCCTCCAAGGGCCCCAATAGAAACCCCAAGAGCCCCCAAACTGGCCCCCACGAGGACCCGAGACGCTTCAAAACTTACAGGTATCCAAGAAGCCTCTGCCCCAAAACTCAAGCACGGTGGTGGTATGGGCCGAAGGCCACAGATCCGCCGCCCCCTGCTTGCAGGGGTGCCTGGCGTGTTAGATTTTATCGGTTTTGGTTTTGGTTCTTTTTCTAAAACTCCCCAGTGGGCTTCGGCCCGTCCCGCCGGCCACCCGGAAAGGATGCCCAGGAGCTCAATTCCCCAATTTCCTGCCCCAGACGGTTCCAAGATGGCCTCCAAGATGCCTCTAAGACGGCCAGGATGGTCTCTAAGACGGCTAAGATGGCCTTATGATGCCTCCAAGACGGTCCAAGACGGCCTCCAAAACGGCCCAAGAGAGTCCAAGACGGCCCAAGACGGCCCAAGAGGCCCCCCAGAGGCCTCCCAGACGGCCCAAGAGGCCTCCAAGAGGTCCTCCAGGAGAGTCCGAAGAGGCCAAAATCATTGATTTTCCCTTGGTTTTTGAAGGATTTTGGCATTTGCGCCTTTTCGGCTCTCCGACGGCTCAAGACGGCCCAAGAAGCCCCCAAGATCGCCCAAGAGGCCCCCAAGAGAGCCCCATGATGGCCCAAGTGGCCTCCAAGATGGCCCCTAGAGGGCCCCAAGAGGGCCCAAGAGGCCTCCAACACGCCCAAGATGGCCTCCCAGACGCCCAAGATGGCCTCCAAGACGGCCCTGGAGCATTCCAAGCGGGCCCCAAGTCGGCCCATAGAGGCCCCCCAAACGGCTTCCGACGGCTTCAGACGTGCCAGGAACCCACCAAGATGGCCGAAGTTGGCTCGAAGCTGGCCCGAGACGGCCCAAAAAGCCCCAAAGATCGCCCAAAGCTTGCCCAAGAGGCCTCCAAGACGGCCAAGATGACCTTCAAGATGCCCACGTGTTCCCCGAAGGCTTTCCAAACCGATTCGGGGAACACGTGGTCCGATAGCTTGGCAGGTCTGGCCTCAACGTTCGGCCACATAGGCGCTTCCAAAAAGGCAGGGGGCGGCGGTGATTCGCAGTAGGCGTCTTCGATAAGCAAACACGTGGCTTGGCGATGGACCTATCCCTATGTAGCATATGTTTGCGCGCCGCGTCACTGAGCTGACCGCGGGCTGCTGTGGAGCAAGCATGCACAGACGCCCTGAACTTCGTGTGGGGCACCATCCGCGTGCCCAAATGGGCGGGGGGGGAGCGCTATGCAAACCCTGTCTCTGGGACCGTCGGTGGAGCTCCCTGTGAGCACGATCAGTGAGAGAGGTGTGAGGCGTGTGCCGCTTTGCAATGGGGCCGCAGGTGAAGGTCCTTGTGGGGCACGATCCCTGTGAGGGGTGTGCTGAGATGGGTGGGGGGGGGGGCGTAGGTGGAGCTCCTTGAGGGCGTGATCCGTGTAAAAGATGTGCTGGAATAGGCGGGGAGACGGAGCTCATAGATGTATGCCCGCTATAGCGCAGGTGCTCCCACGTGATGATCGTGGTGGAATGGTGTGCGTACCCATCCGCGGATTGATGGGTCGCTGGTTTTGCTACGACTAAGATACAATCGCGCGCAAAGCGCGCGTTGTTCTATTCTGGTCTCATATGCTGGGGTACTGGGGCCCCGGTCCCCAGGGCGGCACCCCCTCAAAGATTTTCCACCCCTCCCTTTTGAGCACCCCCGCCCGTCGGGGGCCTCCTGGGCCACCCCCCGAGCGTCCCAAACACACGCCTGGGAGCACGGAGAAGCGACGAGAGCGGCGCAGCAGGGCCCAAGACCCCCCAACATGTCCTCCAGACAGCCCAGGAGCCCCCCACGATGCCCTGACAAGGTTCCAAGATGCTCCCCAACAGCGACCCTAGATGGCCAAACTTGGCACAGTCCTCACGGACAAGATGGATGATTCGCACTGGCTTTTTGAATCTTCACGGCGTCCACGACGGCCGTAGAGGCTCCCAAAATCGCCCCAAGACGGCCCAAAAATCCCCCAGCAGAGCCCGAACGCGGCCGAAGAGGTGCCCAAGACTGCCCCGAGAGAGGGGAACCCAAACTCGCATGTCGATCCTTCCGCCCCAAGTAGACCGCCGAGGCCGCTAGCAGGCCCCCAAGATGCTCCCAAGGGTCCGACTAGGCCCCAAGAGGCCCCCGAACGGCCCACAAGAGGCCCCGAGAAACTTCAAAGCTCGCTCTACGAGGCCCCCGAGAAGCATGCCAAGAGGCCCCCCACTTCAGGTACCCAAGAAGCCTCTGGCCCAAAACCCAAGCACGGTGGCGGCATGGGCCGAAGGCCCTTGGTAAGCAAACACGTGGCCTGGCGACGGACCCATCCCTATGCAGTCCCGTGTAGCGCATATTGGGCGCCGCGAGTAAGCTGATGGCGGGCTGTTGCGGAGCAAGCGTGCATGGGCACGCTGAACTCCGTGTGGGGCACGATCCACGTGAAGTGGGTACCGACAATCCCTGTGCCCTCGCGCGAACCCGCCCTCTGAGGCCGCCGGTGGAGCTCTTTGTGAGGCACGACCCGTGTGGGGCATGTGCCAAATTGGCCGGGGGGACGCCACGCGAAGTTGCGCATTGGTGCCGCAGGTGCAGCCCGTTACAGGGCGCGATTCGTGTGAACAGGTTGCCGAGCTGTGCGGAAGGACGATTTGCAAGCCTTGTCTCTGGGGCTGCGGGTGGTGCTCCCTGTAGGGCACGTTTCGCATGAGGGGTGTGCCGCAATGGGGGGGGAGCGCTATGCAAACCCTGTCTCTGGGACCGTCGGTGGAGCTCCCCATGGGGCACGATGAGTGAGAGAGGTGTGCCGAAGTAGACGGGGGGACGGGATGCGAACCTTGTCTCTGGGGCCGTAGGTGGAACTCCCTGCAGGATACGAAGGTACGATCCGTGTGAGAGATGTGCCGACGTGAGTGGGGCGATGCTATGCGAAGCTTCCCTTTTAAGTGCAGTAACCTGCAGGGGGCAGTACTATCCGCGTGAGGGGTGTGTCGCTTTGTAATGGGGCCGTAGGTGAAGCTCCTTGTAGGGCACGATCCGTGTGATTGGTGGGGCGGGCGTAGGTGGAGCTCCTTGAGGGCGTGATCCGTGTGCAGGATGTGCCAGAATAGGCGGGGAGACGCTGTTCAGATATGTATGGCCACGATATCGCAGGTGTTCCCACATGGTGGTCGTGCTGGGATGGCGTGCGTAATTACCCATTTGCGGGTTGATGCGACGTTGACTTTGCCATGGCTAGAACATATTTGCGCGAAGCGCCCGCTTTGTTGTAGCGGGCATATGCATATGTAAACGTAAACCGTTCTATTGCTACACATACAAGTATACGTACATCCGATCTATGCATACATACACACGTGCACTGTCAGTATCTGGCAGAGCAGGAGTGATAGCAGGTGTGGAAGCAGGGGGGAAGGGAAGCGGGAGGAGATGGGGAGGACTGCCAGCATCAGTCGCCGCAGCAGCAGGCCAAGGGGGCATTTGTGGCGCCGTCACTCCTGTCAGGGGCTGACCGCGTGGCATGCGAAGCGGGCCCCTGCGCTCTCCGGGACGGCGGGGATGGCTGCGCCAGGCGCTGGAGTCGCTGATGCCCCTGACGCCCGGCATGTCCTTCCTGAACGTAGGTGCCCCGCTCGCACTCTGCGCCCGCTCCCCCCCTTGACACTGCAGTGGAGACCCATGCCCAGAGGCACCCGGCTCGCCTCCACGGGTGCCCCGGGTCTCGTGGGTTTCGATGGTTTTGCGATGGAGGGCGCGGTGTTCCCGCAACACGAATCAATGAACGTCCTGGGGTCTCAGGGGGTTTCTTGTGGAAGGTTTCTTGTGGTCGGGCCCCTACTGTATCCGCAAGGGCTTCGCCCCCTGCCGCCAGCCCCCTCTCTCGGAGAATGGGGTAATGCAAGAGCTATATTGTGAGGCCCGCTTGGGGGCCTCTTCGGAGGCTCTTGGGCTTTCGTGGGGCCATCTTGGGCGCCTTGGAGCACTCAGGAGCCGTCTCAGAGACCTCTTGTACCGTCTTGGGTTTTTTCATGAAGGATTGTGGTCTCGAAGGCGTGGGCACTGCGTACTTTACGAGGATTTGCAACATAGGGACGCGAAGAACGCGTAATGTACGCGGGATCGTGGCTTCGGGGACGCAGATATTTCGTACTTAGCGAGCGAGTATTGCTTCTGAGACGCGGAAATGCAGTAATTTACAAAAAATGGTCTCGGGAGTTTGAACATAAGGTACGTTGCTAGGGTTTCTGGCATCGGGGGCGCGAGCTTTGTATAATTCACGATGGACTATGACAATGGGGGCGCGAGCCTGGCGAAATTTACTTGGGATTCTGATTTCGGGGGCGCGAATCTCACGTATTTTGTACGTGCCCCAGGACCCCCCAGAAATTCAGAGAAGCCTCCCAGGTGAAGGTAACCAGGGCCCTGTTCGGCTCCCTCTCGTCGCGCTACAGTGGGGAGCAGAACATAGAATTGTAACATCGGTGACTGGAAGCCAGAACTGGAGCAGGGAACAGCAGGCCTAAGCCGCGGAGCCTGAAGGCCCCGCAAGGGGCCGGCGGATTATCTTTCTGCTTTTTCTGCTCTTCTCTTACCCTTTGTCATCCTCCTTTCCCATAACCACGTTGGCTCAAGCCATTCGTTGCGTGTGTGGTCGCCTTAGCGCGTTGTGACTGTCACCCGTTGCTGGCCGCTGGGCCCATCCAGCAGAGCTGGCGAGCGCAGAGTGCTTGAAGGGATCGCGTCTACGAGGGAGCTGTTACTGGCCCAGCGGCGGCATTGCGGTGGCACGTTGCCCCCTGAGGATATGGCACGGCGGCCCGTTCCTTCGGGAGCCCAGCCAGGTGATCTCTAAGCAGCAGCCGAAGCGTAGGCTCGCCTGGACTGGGTAAGGCCGCCGCCCGTCCGGCAGACCCTGGTGAGATCGCATGTCGACGACGAGGTGATCAGGAATGACGCCATTCGCGCGAGCAGCAGCAAGTGAATCGCCGACCTCACTGGCATCCCCACGGCGGCGCGCAAGATGCCGAAGGAGATGCCGCGGCGCCCCTCAACGAGACAAGACGAGGCACGAGCCGTCGCACCAGTGTCGGGAGGAGAAGCGACCCCACCAGCGGGTCAGCCTTGCCTATGAGGCGCATGATGCGTCCCCGGGCTGGAGCTTGGACCTGCTTCTGGCGGGAAGCCGCACAGCAGGTGCACCATAATTACCACCGGGAGGGCCCTCCTTGGCACCTGCCCTTGCGCTTGGTAGTGGTTGTGCCCTCGTCCCTGGCCCCCACGACGGCGGGCGAAGGACGGTACGAAATAGGCTTCTCCACGGTCGGGGGCGCCCCGTTCCAGGGCGGCCGGGAAGCTCATCCCCCCACCTGCCACCGCAGGGGGGTAACTTCCAAGCCGCCTTGGGACAGGTGCCTCTGATGGCGAGAAGGGCTAATTTGTTCCGCTCTTCGCCCGCTCGCGAGAAGCAGCATTCTGGCGCTGGACAGTGAGGGGACGGACGGTGAGCTGCGGGGCGACGCCGTTGGAGCCGCCCGACGCCCGAGGTGGCCACAGGCTCCGTTCATGGGCGCTCAGTCAATATTGCCCTTCTTCTTCGAAAGGGAGGGTTGAGGAGGGGAGCGGAAAGGAAAGTCAAATGGCAGGCGGTGAGAGAAGGATGAGAAGGAATTCAAAGACGAGGAGGAATAAGACGAGGGGGGGTAAGATGATGTGGAGGTGGTCGAGGGGGAGGAGGAGGAGGCGGCCGAGGAGGAAGCCGGAAGAGGGTGGTGGAGATCAGACGGCGAGGAGAGGAGATCAGCCGTGGCCCTCCTTGAGGCTGTTTCGCTCCACACTGCGGAGATAAGTTCCCACACGGGGTCGAGGGAGGTGTGTGCACACGTAGATGTCTGCGTCGGCCGTCCTCGCACTTGCGGGCGAGTGCTAGCTCGCTAGCACCTGAAGTGCTCGTGCGTGTACATGTTTCTCGGCGAGGACCATCGATGAGGAGCATCCTGGGACATCTTCGAACAAATGAACTCACGAAACCAAGCAATGGACGGGGAGTGGACGTCCGAGCGATGGCAAGCGTATTGAGTTGAGGATATCATGCAGCCGCACCTCCAATGAAGCACGGGAGTACATTCATCAGGATGAGTGTCCTTTCCAGTTTGAGGGTGACCGGGCAAATTTGTGGAGGAGAGGGCTCTGCGACCGCGTACCCCACAAGTTCGACGAAACAGTGACAACGTGCTGCATATAAGGAGCAGGGTACTGAATTTGTTTGCCAAGCCGGCGAGGCTCTGGCACAGGGTATTTCAACTCCATCGTTTCCGAACTCATCGGCGGGGAGGGGTGTTTGCGCGCGGGCCTGCGGTGCATCAGAGCAGAAGGTAGTGGTTTGGACCAGACGGGTTCCAGATAGGGAAACATGGTGCGGAGCAAGAGCTGTGCTCTAACATGCATGATGCACGCATTGGCGCAGGTCGGTATCACACTGAGGATGACACACGGGATGACGCGGCATCTCTTGCACTAGAGAATACATGTGTCATGGAAGTCCTGAGATTTGCGTTCCGACAACAGTTTTTTAGATTGCGCGGCTGGGTTTCTCATTGCGTTTCGGCAAAGCTGGGGGCTTGGGGCAGGAGGCAAAGCCTAGTGGGAGGTTTTGAGCCGGTGGTCTCGACAGGTTCGTCAAATTGTGATGAATCGGCGTGCCCCCATCCCCCATGGGCAACGCGCGCGCCGACAAATCTTTTAGTCTGCGGTCTGTGTTTCGTCTTCTTCTTCTTCTTCTTGGCGGGCGCTTTCTGACCATACCGCTTGGGACACGTAATACTACGAAATGATTACCTTACACGTCTGGGGCGGATGCGCGCCTCCTAGGCGGACACGTAGTTTTAGCATGCCCATATGCGTCCTACCAACAGGCTCGTCAGATCTTGATGAATGTAAGCCTCTTCTCGCGTCCGCGACCCAGGGCTTGGCAGGGCTCGCTCTTTCAGTGGCGGGCGGCCCATGCCCGCCAGAGAAATGACCCGGCTTGAGGCGCAGGTCCGAGGGGTCGCCAACTCGTGGACGCAGGCGGCACGTGAGCGACGCAGAAACACGGAATCGATTGTGCCGCCATCAGCGCGCAAGCTGCCCGCATCAGGTCGCGCGTAGGCGCCTTCGTCTCCAACGTAGCGTTCCCGGCTGGCGGCCCGCGTAAGCCGCCGCGCAAGGTCGTTGTGCCATCTCGCGTCAGACCCGCGTCTTTTCGTCGCTCACATGGCTTGCCACGGCCTCAACGTGGCAGTTGATGGAACGGTCTGAGCTGTACATTCTTGGAGTTGGCCTACCAGGGTTACGTCTTCTCCAGACTGCTCGGAAGAGCTGGTGACCAGCGTCCCAGTTCCGAGGAAAGTGTGCGCGTCTTCAGATTCTTGACACTTTGCGTATCCTCACCTGCCCATCCAGAAACGATGCCCAGGCGAGTTGTTGAGCGAAGGGTTGCAGAGGAGCACTAGCAGAACGAAGAGGTGGGAATGGATGAATCTGACATCGGGATCAGTTTGCGCAGCCCTTATACTTGCCAACTCTGGGCCTCTGAGAGCATTAAGGAGACAATTCAGAGGCTAGCTAGGGCCGTCCTGGGACCCTTGTGGAAGCCCTGGGGGCCTTCTTCAGGCTCTGTTGGGCCTCGTTTCGGGGGCGCTTTGTGCCCTCTTGAGGTCATCTTGGATGCCATCGCCCAAGCAAGGGGGTGGGGATTGACTCAGCGCCCCCATCCTGGACACCGAAATATGACCAACTTGACTCATACAGGGGCGCGCTTGGAGGGCCCGGAAGCGAGAGTGCGGAAACTCAAAGACACTGAAACGCATTAGGTCGGTCACTGTTTTGGCCTCTCGGGAGCATGCTTGGGAGGCTTAGTTGCCACAGCGGGCAGTTTTGTGGCGGCTTTAGGGTCTCGTGAAGGCATGCTGGATGCCATCGTGAATGAAATCGGACCGTGCTGTGCGGGTTTCGAGGCAATGTTGGGCGACGTGGGGTCATTCTAGAGCCATCTACAAGCCTCGTCGCAATGGACGCGACGCCGCCGGCTCGCCCTAGGCGATGAGTTCCCGTTGGGGGGCCCATTCGAAGTTGAGAGGCGCACGGGGCTATTTGTTGAGCGCCCCTTCAACGTTTACGGGCGCACTGCGATCCTGGCCGGCTGCCCCCCCGTTCGCGCACTTCGAAGCACCGGCTCCATTTTTGGAGGGCGGGGGGATATCCCTACCCATCGTCCGTTGAAAGCAGGTATTTCTGGATTTCCAGATCCCAATCTACGTTAAGCGCCTTCCTGATTCAATGATTGAGTGGCTTCACCTTTTCCCCGTCCTCCTTAGGGGGCGGACGGACCCCAGTCTACTGTCAACGCCTTCTTACTTCCTGGTTCTACCTACCTCTTCCGACCGATGGTGACGGCGAGGCCAAAAAAATTGGACGCTCGAACCCCTCGCGCCGTGCCGTTCAGCCCGCTGTGGAGGGGGCCTGGGGGTGCGCAGAGCCAGCCCCTCCCCGAAGGGAAACGTAGCCCGGGGGCTGCTCTGGAAGAGCTCGTAGTCTAAACCGCCTGCGCCCACAGGGCTGGTGGAATCTGGTTTGCTTCGCTTGGGTCTGGGCTGGTGACGATCGAGACGCATCGGACCATGGGCCGTGATGATTGCGGTGGCAGGCGAGTGCAAGCCGAGCGTGCTTTTTTGTTGAGTGTGGCAGTGGGGGGAAGAGGAGGGCACACTCGGCACGTCGACAGGCACAGCCGCAACCTGTCCGCATGTGCACCACGGAAGTTGGCTGTCCCCTGGAGGCGGCCAGGACCCGCAGAAGTCCTGAAGCGCCTCGGGAAGGTCCCGGGCGGGTGGCGGATGGGCCCGGCTTCGCGTAAGAGGGCGCCTCATCGCATGCGCTAGCTGTGGGGCGAGGGGGCAGAGGGCGTGGTGGGGCAGGGCTGCACGGGCGCGGGGCAGTCAGCAGGAAGAGGTGCCCTTCCAGGATGGGGGAGGGCCGAGGACGGAGGCTCGGCGCTGCAGGATGGGTGTCCCTCGACAGGACGAATGTTCAAGACTGGTGAAACAGCAGTCGGGTGACGACATCTGCGCGCTACTGCCATCATACAGCGAGCACGTTAGGACTACGTGTATGATGCTTCTTTCGAAGACCGCCTGTGGGAGGGCATGCCCGACCTGACGATGATCCTGGAGGGCGGGGCCCCAGGCCACTGAGAACAGAGAGCCCCGAACCCCTGAGAGCACGGTGAAGACGTGGCCTCGCTGAGGCCCCCGTCTCTGCAGTGGGGATCAGACATCTGAGCGGTCTGGCTCGGCACATCTGCAGAAAAGACCTTTCATCCCCGATGTCTTGGGCCCTCCTAACTTAGGTCCCCTCCCAGCGGGTTAGGGGTTAGGTTCCGTCTCAAAGGGTTAGAGTTTTTTTTTCGTTGCTCACCCTTCAGTCCATCCTTGGCCACTTTCGTTGGCCGCGCCCCGCTCGAAACTCTTCGAAATGGGCGTCCAAGGCCCCTTGCACCCTCATCGCGCATCCTTCTGACACGGGCCGACTGTGGGAGGACATGCCCGACCTAACGATCACCCATCGGGGAAACGTAAGACTCCAGTAAGCCGGAACTCGGGTTTGCCGACTTTGTTTGATAAGCGCGTCATGGAGGTTGACGGTCCAGTTTTCGTTGGATGCGTGCAGCGGGAGCTCTCGTCACATTTTAGAACGGGTCTCGTCCTTTTTGGGATGGCCCCGGCAGGCCAACCCGAGTCCTCCGCACCCGAGTCTTGCGTCTCCCCGAACCAAGCAGAAGAGCTCCAGACGACCGCGCACGGCAGCTTCCTCCGCCGGCGCCCTCCTCCCGCTCCCTAGCCCCTCGCCCCTGCAGCGCCGGCCGGGGAGGCCGAGCGGGAATCTTCTGCGTGCGGATGTGCGGACCTTCGGCCAAGGCAGATGGGAGGAGGAGGGAGGAGGAGGAGGAGGAGGAGGAGGAGGAGGAGGAGGAGGAGGAGAGGAGGAGGAGGAGGAGGAGGAGGAGGAGGAGGAGGAGGAGGGAGGAGGAGGGAGGAGGAGGAGGAGGAGGAGAGGAGGAGAGGAGGAGGAGGAGGAGGAGGAGGAGGAGGAGGAGGAGGAGGAGGAGGAGGAGGAGGAGGAGGAGGAGGAGGAGGAGGAGGAGGAGGAGGAGGAGGAGGAGGAGGGAGGAGGAGGAGGAGGGAGGGAGGAGGAGGAGGAGGAGGAGGAGGAGGAGGAGGAGGAGGAGGAGGAGGGAGCAGGGAGGAGGAGGAGGAAGAAGAGGAGGAGGAGGAGGAGGAGGAGGAGGAGGGAGCAGGGAGGAGGAGGAGGAGAGAGGGAGGAGGAGAGGGAGCAGGGAGGGAGGAGGAGGAGGGAGGAGGAGGAGGAGGAGGAGGAGGAGGAGGAGGAGGAGGAGGAGGAGGAGGGAGGAGGAGGGGCGGGGCCCCGGGCAGGCGGCATGGCCACGAACCACGGCATCGACATCTGGCCCGAGACGGTGGCGCACTCGCGCCGCCGCTGCGCGGCGCTCGGGAAGGCGAGCATCGAGCTCACCGTCGGCGGGGCGGGGCCGGAGGGGAGCACCGGGTGCTGAGCTGCGGGCTGCCTGCCAGTTGGCGTCACGTCGGGCTATCCAAACATGAGAGTGTTCTTTAGAACGCTTAGGGGATTTGTTTTGGCTAGTTCTGATTATTATGTGTGTATATATACATACATATATATATATATATATATATATGTATATCTGTATATCTACATATACATATACACAACTTTTCATATGTCTTCCAAGGTCCGTCTTCAGGAGGACATGCCCGACCTAAAGCTGACGGCCTCTGACCTGCCCCACCACCGCACCTCAGAGGAAGAGGCACCCACACTGCTACCCCTGCCTCGCTTTCGCATCTTTGGGCCTCCTGGGAGGGTCTCGCTGCCGCCGCTGGATTCGCTTCGATTCATGGGCTGACGCCGCACCGCCGACCCCTTGGGGCGGCAGTAAGAGTGAAAAACGGAGTTTGCGGGACGCGCGTGAGTTCGGGGGAATCTTGGAGTTTCTTGGGATTTCGTCGGGGGCAGTTGGCGGATCGCGGCTCTGCTCTTGGGTTTCTTTGGGCCGTCCTGGCAGCACTTTGGAGGCCTCTTGGGAGCCGTGTTGAGGCCTCTAGGGGCCTCTTTTGGGCCTCCCGGGGGACTCGTGAAGCCTCTTGGGGGCCTCTTGGCGCCTCGGGTTTTTTTCGCGGCCGAGTGCTCGAAATGTCCATTCGGGTTCCCCCTCTGGGCCTCCTTTTGGGGCCGTCCTGGGACTCCTGGGCCGTTTTGGAGGCTTCGGCTGTCTTGGAGCCCTCTTGGGCCGTCTTGGAGCCCTCTTGGGGGTCTCTTGGGCTGTCTTGGGTTGATCTTGAAGGCTTCTTGGGCCATTGTTGGCCTCTTGCAAGCCCAAAGGCGTATATGGTAAAACAAAAATGCGTTTTTCCTTTGGTAATGGGGCGATTCTCGCTTCCGGAGGGCCTCTTGGGCTGCTTCTTGGTGTCTTCTTCGGGCGTCTTGGGGGCCTTTGGGGCCGTCTGGAGGCAATCTAGGGCGTTTTGGAACGATCTGTCGTCGACTCGTAGCCCTCTTGGACAGTCCAGGGGGCCTATTAGAGCCCTTTGGCCCGTTTGGGGCCCCCTGAGGCTCCCTTCCTTGAGTGCGGCCGGTACCTTTTCCCCTCCCCCCCCAAACCGGCCGGATCAGGCTCCCTGGGGAGGGGTTTGGGGAGGGGGAAGCATCTCACACGCCGTGACCCCAAGGGGTCGGCGGATATCCTGGTCAGAACGCACCCCAGGAGAGGTCCGGGGGGTAGCGGTATCGGTACCTCGTGGTGCCCCAGTGCCGTGGCAAGCATCCGTGAGTTTGTTGCGTGTTGGTGAATCGGTTCCCGCCACGATGGCCCTGGCAGGCCTCCCTCCCCCCCAAACAATGCAGGTGTTGGCCCGGGCCCAAGCTGCAGAGCCCAAGATTCTTGCAATGGACCTGCGGCTGGTCCCCCCAACCTCGGGACATGAGCAGTGCGGGCGCAGTGGGCGGAAGAGGGACGGGGGCAGGGGGCAGCGGCGGCCTTCCTGCGAGGGCCACAGAGTGACGGTCACTGACCCGTCTTGCGACTGCGCCTGGATCGCGCTCCAGAGGCGTTGGGGGATCTCGGTGGGCTTCTGGGGGGCTCCTGGGAGCCTCTGCGGCCCACTTGGGTGCGTCTTGGGGCCCTCCAGGGGGCCTCGGGTCTCGGGGGCCATCTCGGCGGGGGAGAGCTGCCGGAGTCCCTGCGAGTTTCCCATCTTGAGCCCGTCCTGAATGCCTTCTTGGCCGGCCAGAGAGCCTCTTGGTCCGTCTAAGGGCCCCCGTTGGGCCGTCTCCAGGCCGCCTTGGGCCGGTTGACGGAAAGAGCAAGGTACGAGTGGTGCACGTCGGTTGGTGGGGCGGAGCCCTCAAGGGAGGGGTTCCAGGGGAGGGGCGAGGCGCGCGAATTTTCGTCTAATGGCCGCCGGGGGCCGTTTTCCTCGTATTCGTTCCAAGTGAAGCGGCTCGCGGGCGCCTTCCATGGCCCGTTTCCTTGTATGTTGTTTGATTGAAGCGGCTCAAATCCCGAGACGGCCCAAGAGGGCACCAAAATGACCCAAAGATTGCCCCAAGAGAGCCTCAGTTGGCCTCCAGACGGCCCAAGAGAGCCTCCAGACGGCCCAAAGGCATTGATTCCCCTGGGGTTTTCGAAGGTTTCTCGGGTTCTCGCCTTTTCGGGCCCAGAAGGGCCCAACACGGCCCACGAGGCCCCAAAGCTTGTCCCAAGACGGCCAGAAGCCCCCCAAAGGGGCCGAAAGCTGTCCAAGAAGGCTCCCAGACGGCCCAAGAGGGCTCCACAACGGCCCCAAGAGAGCCCCCAAAGGACCCCAAGAGGCTCCCAAGAGACTCCCAAGAGGGCCCGAAGAGGCAGTGTGGGGACTGGGCTGCTTGGGTGTGGGGGCTGGGCTGGCCCCAAGACGGCCCAAGAGTTCCAAAACGGTCCAAAAGGTCCGCCGAAAGACTCCCAAGAAGCCCCAGAGACGCCAAGGAACACCATGGCTCCCCACAGCGAGCGCTGACGCAACAAGCTCTGAACACCAAGGCTCCCCAGAGCGCGGCGACCTTAAAGAGTGTTGAACAACAAGGCTCCCAACAGCTTAGCGGCAACGTAGAAGTCTCTGAACACAGGGCTCCCAACAGAGAGCGGTAACGCAACAAGCTCTTAACGCCAGTGCTGCCCCGAGCGAAGGGTACCATGAGCCTTCTCGGGCGAGTTCCTTGCAGCACTCTTCCGTTCCGTGCCGGCTGAGGTTGGGAGGCATCGGGGTTTGCTTCAAATGTTCTGAAACCAGAATTAGATGGAATTCAAGCATCATTCAGACACAAATTTGAAGTCCACTATTTTTGCCTCTTGATGCCCTTTTGAGGATCTTCTATGTGCACTCTTCGGGCGTCTTGGGCCCTCTTGGTGCCATGCTGGGTGCGTTTGAGGATTTTCCAGGGTGTTGGGGCCATGCTGGAGCCATGTTAAGAAGCATGTGGGGCATCTCGAAGGCGGATTTGGTGGCTGGATTTGGAGGCTGCGAGAACCCTAGTGTGGTTTTGGGTCCCCGAAAAGGTGGAAAAGGGGAGGGGGGCAACCAACTGTCCCGCGCATCTTTTCACCTCCCGCGAGCGGGGATCGGCGCATTGCGATAAGCTTTCCGAGTCAGATCCAAAGGTGCAGGCGCGCGCCTGCTGAAATCATCATAACACCATCGTTTGTTTCTGTCAGTATGTCAAGAAGGACCATGTGCTGCGTGAAAAACATCGTAACACACACACACACACACACACACTGCGTTAAAGAAGCATTGCGTTCACAAACAAGCACTGCGTACAAAAACACAGCGTAATATAAAAAACACTGCGTTGAAACCATTGGATTGAAAACACGGCGTTGTAAACATTGCGTAAACACTCAGCGTAACGCAACATTGCGTTGACCAAAAATTGCGTAAACAAAAGGCGTTAAGCAACACTGTGTACACAACCATTGCGTTGAAAACACCGCGTTTGAAACGTTGCGTAACACAACACTGCGTTCAAAGCATTGCGTAAAAGCATTGCGTCAACACACACTACGTTAAACACACTGCGTAACAAAAAAACACTGCGTAACAAAAGACTGCGCTCAACAGCACTACGATAAACACACTGTGTAGATGAAGTCAGTTTACGCTTAAGATCAACACTCGATGTAACGAGTGCTTTTGATCTGATGAGTTTCGACCTGATGGCGGAAGCTATGAAGCGCCGAGGCTTTCACCCTTTATTGCTTTTCTTCTCAGGGAGCAGCTTCACGATGTCGTGGAGCCAGTTTTCCAAGGCATCACGTGGGACGCGAGCATCCCGTTCAACAAGAGTGGCAAGCAGGGTGGCGTTGAGACCCTGTCCCTGTAGAACCTCATTGTTTGTCTTCTGGCGTCTAATCTTTCCGATTTGGTGAGCAGGCTCTTTGCGGGTCTCATTCGCCTCATGAGCGATTTGGGTCTGCCTTGGAAGATGGAATCGCTTGAGTTCTTCACTAACGGTGCCTTTTGTCCCTCGCATGCGACTGCTGTTGCAGATGTGGGCTCTACCAGCTCTGAGATCTCCGTTCGTTCCGGTGGTGTTGAGGTTCTCGGGATTTGGCAAACGCCAAACGGCAACGCATCATATGCAGCGGGACATCGATTACAGGAAGGTTCTCCAGCCCTCTGAAAGTTTCAATAGTGGGTCTTGTGACGTCGTTGTCAGTATTTGTACGCTGTGACAGGTATTCCAAACGCGTGGTCCTTTTGGTTTGTCATGGCTTTGGACTTTAGTGTGGAGTCGGGGCCTTGCTGCTCTGAGACTGGATCGCTGGGAGGGCGACCATATCCGCGGGATTGCCAGGGTGAAGCGAAGGCTGCAGGACAACACCGTCACTCATTTCAGGCGAGCTGTTCGTCAGGCCGGACGCAAGTACGTAGAATTTAGAGGTTTCATCCTCTTAGTGTTCGCGTTCTTCGAGGTGCGTTCATTTTCTCGGCTCGCACGGTTCCCCGGCGCATCAATGCGACGATGCCGCCTGCGCGCGCGCATGGATTTCTCAGGGATGTGGTTTGTTTGCGGAGCATTGCCGAGTGGAGGGCTATGCAGCCTTTCAACACGCTTGGAAAAAAGGTTAGGGCGTTCGCAATAGACGTAGATGGAAACGAGAGCCTGAGTACACATCGGGCTTTGCAATGGGGCAATGAGCCTATGAGCGTCTGTGGGTTCCGTCCATCGCCGATCAGTTGTTCTTCTCGGCTCAGAGGTATCGGGATCTGATAGCGCTTGCTTTCGAGAAAATTCAATTTTCTGTGCCTGACTGTGTGAAGAATGGCCCTCGACATTGGCTCGCGGGACAAGCCTCTAGTGTTGTAAGGTTGAGCCCCTGAAGGCATCCGGGGATTATGTTCCTGAGCTTGTCCCGTCTTCCTCCCTTCTTGAGCTGCACAAGATTAGCTGAAGGCTTGAGATGTTGGGTGACCCCAAACTCAACGCACAGTGGTTAAATGGCTGTTGGAATCTGGTTGCAGGGTCTTGCGTCCCTTTCGTCGCCACGGCTCAGCGTTGCTTCGAAAAACTATGGTTTCGCTGTGTGGGTGCGCCTAGTGAGAGCTCGAATCATTGGTGTATGCACTTTTTCCGTGAATTGAGTAAGCAAGTTGACGCGCTTGCTTCCGACGCCTTCGACGGAAGGCATTCGAATGTGTTCTATGCGCCGGACCCTTTTTCTCCCGCTCCGAATGTCAAATATGCGTTGGCCCAACGCGACGGTGGTTCGAAAAATGGTCTCGTTTCGAGTGGGTGGCACATGGGTTTCGCTCGTTCCTGTGATCACCACGGCCCCCCTGTTTTCCACACGGTGGCCGAGGGTTCGGTCTTCTGGGGTGAGGGCGCAGTGATCCTTGGGGAGTTCCGAGGCCTTATTCAGGTAATTGAGGCTATCTCCAGCCTGCTCGTTCAGCGTGAAATCGTTTTCGATGCTTCGTCGCGTGTGCAAGAATGCTGGCAATGTTGGCTCTAGCGTCCTGGGCCCCAGGTGTTGTTTACACGTCGCGGTCATCACTTTTCAGACTTCGCAGGACATATATCAGCCAGTTGGCATCACAGGAATGCGTAGGCCGCCCGGACAAGTTATCACCACCATCATCATCATCATCATCATCATCATCATCAGCATCATCATCATCATCATCATCATCATCATCATCATCCCCATCACCCTTACCATTACCACTGCCATCACCATCGTCGTCGTCAACATCACCACTGTCGGTGTCGTCATCGTCATCGTCATTGTTGTTGAAACACAAACACTTCGATCATCAGCGCCGCAATCGCCCATGTCGTCGTCACCATCACAATTCGCCCGCCCAAGTCATGGGTCTGCATGGTGAGAGTCTCCGCGCCGCTGCGCCAGCTGCTTTCTGCCGACAAGGTGTGGACAGGAGGGTGATGTTCATGCTCGAGCGTTGGAGCTGGCGACCTCAAGGTGTTCAAACATCAGCTGCACCACGCATATGCCACCACGCGGAGCATCTTTCGCATGTTGCACATCGCGCCGCACAAAATTGCACCACGCAAATCCATCGTACAACATGCATGATGTTGCTTGCAACGCATGGGTTGCACCACACACATATTGCACCACACAGATTGCACATTGCTCGTGTCAGAACCCACTGTTTGGGTACAACCCTGCCACACATGTCTTCTGTTAGCCCAGAGCTTGTTGAGCTCACGTTTGGCGACGGTCGCCCAAGGGAGGAGAGGCAGACATCACCACGGGACCAGTCGAACGAATAACGTATGGTTAGGCGCATTTTCGTTTTGCCCAGATGGTTGGCATTTCTTGCTGGAAAGGGTCACGCATCCATCACCTGTCGTTCGATTCCGTCTCGTGACGTTTTGCGCGTTCTCCGGTTATGGTGTGCACGCGCGCGCATGCATTCTTCCGGCCACCCAGAAAAATGCGACGACCGGCTTCGGCCGTGCCACCTTGACCCGAGGGGAGGCAACGCTTACCAGTTGGACGTCGGGGTCACGACGCGCTATGACCGGATCTACCTCGGCGCATGCGCCAATTCGCGCTCAAAGTATCCCGGAGGGCCACCGCGTTTCCGCCGAGCCTACTGGGAGGAGTCTTCCGACACGCCTCTCAGGGCCCTGGCCACGGAAAGTTCCGAACCAGGGGGGGGGTGGATAGGAAGCAGAATGGTTCGAATTAGGTTTGCAGTTTTGGATTCATCCAATGTTCCATGAGTTTGGTACCCTGTTTACGGGGCCCCATGATTCGCCGTCTCTGCCCCCGAGCGTGACTGCAGCGGACTGCAAGGCCGAGAGTTCCGAGCGCCCCGAACTTCTGAGACGGTTCGAATGTGCGCCCCACCCCGGTCCCTCATGCGGGGCTGCGATCAGCGCGTCGAATGGTTCACTCGTTAGACAGACCCGAAATGAGCTAGCACGAAGAGGCGGATCAACGTGTGTGGGTGCGGAAGTTCACTGTTGGCCTAGAGGTCCATAGGTACCGCCAGGGATCTTGAGGGACCTCCACGGGGACCTCTTTGTGAAACTGGCAGCCGCGGTGATCCGGGGACCCCCAGTGCTCTGGGCCTCTCCCCCCTCGCCCGCCCTTCCCGGCCCGCCCGTCTCCCCGCCCTGCTGCGCTGGCCCACCTGCGCCGCCCACCCGAGCCTCCCTCGACGCCCGTGCTCACTTGGCGGCCAGCTGCGCGCGAGGAGAACCTCGGAACACACAGCGCCCGTGCCGGGTCTCGTCTGCCCCTCCCTCCCAGGCCCCCGACGCCATGATTTTTGTTACGACGTGGACCCCAGAAGTCTCGACCCCTTCCACGGGACTGGTCTCCGTTTTTTCATCCTGCGTCCTTTTTTGGTGGTCCCCAGGCCCGGTACGGGTTCCCGGAGGCCGAAAGTAGCAAAACGCTTGCCGTGGTGATTCTTTCATGACTCGAGGGGGTCAGGGCTCCTGGCCTCTACACCGTGATGTCAACTGCGACCAAAAAAAACAGGAGGAGGCAGGCAGGAGGGAGGCGGGAGGAGACGCGCGCGCAGTGCTCTATTCCAAACGAATACCCAACCAAGGAGGGTTGGGAATAAAGCAGGAAGCAGGACGCAGGAGGAGGGAGGGAGGCGGGAGGAAGGAAGGTGGAGACCACAGTCCCTCATTCAAAACGAATACCCAACCAAGGAGGGTTGGGAAAAAGCAAAGAGCTCCTGGCCCCGCCGTGCCTCGCCGACGGTGCCCTGGGCCCCCCCCCCCCGGGGCGAGGGGGCCCAGACCTGCAGCACGGCCGGGTGCCCCCACCGCGACAGGGGCCGGCGGCTCTCTACAGGCACGCTCTCGGGCGCGCGTCCCACGGCCGGCTCGGAGGGCGCCCGGGCGGGGATCGTCGGGGCCAGAGGGTCATCGAGAACAGAAGGACCCCTAGCCCTGATAACACGATGAAGACGTGGCCTCACCGAGGTCCCCATCTTCGCATTCGCGATCGTAAATCTGTATGGTTTGGCCTGGCACGTCTGCAGAACAGACCCCCTTTATCCCGAATGTGCTTGGCCCTCCTAACTTCGGTCCCCTCACAACGGGTTAGGGGTAATTGCACTGCTGATCAGAGGAGGGGTTTGGTCAGCGGTGGGGTCGGCCGAGACCCTGCAGGTGATGCCTGGGAGGCCCGAGGTGCTGACCTGGCTCCCGGTGGCCGCGAGGCGGCACTTCCGCAGTCGACTGGTCAGGTCAGCGTTCGGAGCAGGTTGCGCTCGAGCAGCGCCTTCGGAGCCCAGCGCTGACCTGACTGCTCCTCTGCTCCCTGGTTCGGGCCGTGGCTGCTGAGGCCAGCTTCGCAACACGAGGGCCTCCCCACCGTAATAGCGGCTGGAGGTCCTCTACCGGGGTGCTCTCGGGCGCACGTCCTGAGGATAGCTCTGGGGTCGCCCGGGTGCTTGGAGGTTCGGTCGTTTCGGCTCGGTCGGTTCGGCTCGGTCGGCTCGGCTGCGTTCACTCGGTTCGGATTCGGTCGGTTGTTATGTCGTTGTTGCGTTCCTGCGTCCTCTGGGCGGCTGCTTGCGGCCTGTCGGACTCGGTCGGTTTCGATTTCGCTGTCGGTTCAGTCACATGTTGGTTGTCTTGTCGGCGTGGACGGCCTTGGGATCCTGCCCTGGTTGGCGAAGCAATTTTTTCAGCACGACATGTCCCCCCACCACACACACCACGATAGTGGTCAAAGGCCCTCTACAGACACGCACTCGACTGAACGTCCCATGGGTAGCTCGGGGTCGCCCAGGTGGGGATCGGGCCGTGGTTGACGAAGCCAGCTGAGTCCGATTACTGACAACCTGATCCCTCCCCAAAGAGTCGAACACCTTCCGAGTGCGTGCCTTTAGATTGTAGCCGAAATTTTCCTTGAAGCGTTCGGACCGGCGGTGGGCGGCGGCGGCGATGCCCGTGGCGCCAGTGGCGACGGCGACAGTAACGACAATGACGCCCTCACAGCGGCTTGTCGGAATCATTAGCGCTCAAGCGACCGAACTATTTGTTGTCAGAGCTTGCGTGGAGGAGTCGAGCAAGCTGTCCCCGGCGAGAGAGAGTGCTGACCCTGCAGTCAGCCCGCATAGGAAGGATGGGCAACCTTCCCAGGGTACCCTGACATCCTTGCCTCCTCAGTCCATCCGTGGCCACTTTCGTTGGTCGCGCCCAAACTTCGAAGTGGGCGCCCAAGGCCCTTTTGCATCCTTATCGCGCATCCTTGCTATACGGGCTAACTGTAGTTGGGCGACAGAGGTTGGCCCACTGTAGGCCGTGGCAGGGGTGGGCGCTCCAGCAGGCAGTTCCAGCAGGCAACTCCAGCTGCGCCATGCTGCGAGTTCATGCCCACCCCAGGAGACAAGGGGAGGAGGAGGAGGAGGAGGAGGAGGAGGAGGAGGAGGAGGAGGAGGAGGAGGAGGAGGAGGAGGAGGGGGAGGGGGGAGGAGGAGGAGGAGGAGGAGGAGGAGGAGGAGGAGGAGGAGGAGGAGGAGGAGGAGGAGGAGGAGGAGGAGGAGGAGGGGGTGGAGCCGTGGAGTTCCGGCCCGTCTCGTCCGGCTCATGCCTCCCACCCCTGTGTGAGAGCACGTCGGGGCATTCCGCGAACGTGTGAGCGACGAAAGAAAGCAGGGTCGGCAGCGCCGACATTTGCGCGCAAGCTGCCCGCGTAAGGTCGTGCATAGGCGCTCTCATCTCCGATGTGGCGTGCCGCGCTGGCGGCCCGCATAAGCCGCCGAGCAAGATCGCTTTGTCATCTCGCGCGCGACCTCTTTTTGATCGTCGCCGACGTGCCCTTGTGTCCAGGGCCAGGGAAGGAGTGGTCAGAGGAGCAGAACATCGCATATGCACAATGTCTTGGAGCTCCACGCGAGGGAGGGCCAGCGCCGTTCCGAGATAGCCGCGCGGAGCCCAGTACGTTCATGTCTGTGCGGTGTGGGGTAGGGGGAGGGGGGTCCCCTCTCCCCCTACCCCCCTCTGCGCGCCGCCAACAAGAATTGGGAATGAGGGCAGCACAACCCGCGCTCACCCTCAGCCAGGACACCCACTCCCAATCTGGTGATCCAGGGTGTCCTGGCCAGGGGTGGGGGTGGTTAGCGGGGGGAGGCAAAAATCAGCCTCGCCCCCAGCCGGGGCTCTTTGGATCGCCAGGTCGGGAGTGGGGGTCCTGGCAGGGGGGGGGGTTGTGCTGTCCTGAGGGAATGCGTGGTCAGAGAGCAGCATGAGCATGATGGAGGCTCAGTGCCCCCTTGGGCTCCGAGGTGCGCCCGCGGCGCCTTTTTCTGTTTGATCTTCCCCCGAGGCTGCTCGAGGTGGGCGGCGTGCTGATCGGGCCGTTCCAGGCCCCCCCCAGCAGATATGCACAGATATGCGGATCGTCCGTGTGCTACATTTTGGAGCCGGCTGGGGGTCTGAGGTGCAGCACTGTCTCTGGCCAGCAGGAGTGGAGGAGCAGATTCGATGTTCCGGGTTCGGGAGGGTGTGTTGCTTCCTTCGGCCTCCGGGTGTTGTTTTTCGGGCCCCAGGACAGTCAAAAAACTGATCGGGGGTGCAAAATATGGGCGTTGGGAGGGGTCCGCGGACGGATTTAGACCGGATTTGGCATCATCCCCTCCTCCTAACAGATTTTCTGGGCCCGTACCAATTCAGACCCCCGGCCGCCTCCAAGCTAAAGTCAACATGTTCAAACTTGTCTCCGGGCCACTCATTGGATCTAGGTTGGGGTACCTGTTCGTGGCCGAGGCTCGAAAAGCCCCTATCGTTCCTTATCCAGGGTCCTTTTATGGTAGTACGATGATTGTAGTCCAGGTGTGCGGAAGTCTGATGTTGCAGAGGACGTGAAGTCTGCGCTTCCGATCTGGCGCTCTTCTAGTGTTCTGGTGTTATGGCTCCGAGGCCCAGGCGAATCGGTTTGATCAGGTGGCAAAATGCTCAGATGCTCGTTTGGGGGACCTGACTGGTGCCCACACCTGACGGATCTGTTCGACTCAAGTTCGGCTCATGTCGACGGACGTTCGACGCAGCATTGATTTATAAATGCAGCGAGTGGCTTCAGGGAGGTTCCCAGGACGACCATTTCACCAAAGAGGGGGGGGAGCTGCCGTGAAGCCGAAATTCTGGATGCGCGTGACCAGGCGCGGGTCTTGCTGGCGAGAGTGAGGAGCTGGATGGGGGAGCGAGGACGCCTAATGTTTGACGCTGGAGGAGCTGGAGGGGGAGCGAGGAGCTGGAGGAGCTGGAGGGGGAGCGAGGAGCTGGAGGGGGAGCGGTTACGTGGGCGTCAAGGGAACGGCACATGGCCGTATAGCGACGTATGGGTAGCGCAAGCCAAGTCGGGGCGCCGCATGTGACATGCAAGCGTGGCAAGACTGGCGTCTTGCTGCAACGTGAGCCCCCCTGCGAGGTGTTTTTTTTTGGGAGGACTGAGTTTGGAATGATCGGTTGTCGATGGATCCCTCTGTCGGGAATGGTTCGCCAGTGTGCGTACGCACATTCGCGAAACAACGAGCTTGAGCTCGGGATTTCGCGTGAGAGCCAGGCGCGGTTCTGGGAGTTGCATAGAGGGTTGAAGAACACATGTGGGCGGCCTCCACACGACAACATATGTGTTTGTTGCATGGCAGTTTGTTTTGTTTTGCTGTTGCCTGGTTGCATTCCAGTTTGTTTTGTCACTGTAGTGGCGCTGCTCGAGCTGGAGCGTCGGGGGCATCGAAGCGAATTGGCCGACTGGAGCATTGTGATGAGAGCACATTCGGGCCTTTGCAGCGGAGTGCCGGCGGGCCTCATCCCTCTGGCGGAGGGGCCAGAGGAGGACGTGCAGAACGACCAGCTCGGCGCAGAAGCCGCCGAGGTGATCATATCAATGCATTGCATGCTGGTGATGCTGGCGAGGAACGGGCCGCTCAAAATGGTCGTGGTCAGTGGAGTCGGACAGGTCTTGGCTGCATGCAGGTCGCTCCACAGAAGATACGACAGTTCGGCGGCAACGAGAGTGGCAGGCCTGCTACTCCATCTGATAAATTGGAGCCTCGCTGGGGGGCATCCAGTCGCGAGTGGAGCTGTTCGAGCGCGAGTTTCAGCGGTGTGAGCAGAGATGAGGTGAGAAGATTGGCCTGAACATCCAAATGGGCATGGTGCCGAATAAACTAGAGAAAGGATCTCTGAAGGACCAGTTGATGCTGCAATCTAGCAGTTACGAGAGTTGGGTGGACTTCAAGAATGAGATCGCGAACTGCAAGAAGGCGACAACTGTTGTGGCGTATGCGAACGGCCCAACCCCGATGGACATCGGCGCGCTGGGCGGTAGCAAGGGCAACGGCGGCAAGCTGGACGCGGCATGCCCCGATTGCGGCGGTCGCGGCCGCTACAAGCGGGATTGCACGAAACCCGGAGTTGGAGCCCACCGCCCGCTGCGCGGCGCACCGCCGAGAGATTCGAGAAAGGGCGCGGCCAGGGCAAAGTCAAGAAAGGCAAGGGCAATTGTGGCCCCCCGTTGAGATGCCACAGCTGCGGAGGCAGGGGGCGCGCGAAGGCGCAGTGCCCAAGCAAGAACATCAGCACGCTCGACGACGATGGCAACTGGGGCCACGACTGAGACCGCGACCGCGACCACGACCACGACCGCGACCAGCGCGAGCCAGAGCAGGAGGCTCTGGCCACGCAGAAGCACCAGGCCGTCGAGGGCTTGTTCATCTGCGGGTTGTCCATGGGTGCCGACAAAAGTGATGCGAACGGTCAGGTGCTCGAGACTGGCGCGGACTCGTGCGCAGCGGCGTCGGTGCTGCTGGAGAGATGGCGATCGAGCGCGCCGCTCCAGAGGGGCGCGCTCGGCGGCTCCTGCCGCGCGGCGACGCCGGCGGAGATCCGTGGCAAAGGCGAGAGGGTCGCGGGCGGCATGGCCCGCGGCAGTGGGCCCCTGCTCGCGGCCAGGCTCAGGGTGCCATGGGCCCGTCGCTCCCTGATGTCGCTCAGCGAGGTGGCGGGCAGAGCACGCTGGTCGCGTTCGACGGCGACGGCGGCTCGGGCGACAGAGCGATCGTCGCGACGGACACCGGGGGCGCGATCCCCATCGTCAGGAAGTAGACGGTGCGCGCGCTGCCGCTGCGTCTTCAAGGAGGAGGCTGCCCGCGTTTCCCCGGGTTGGGCGGTCGCCTGCAGGCGCGGCGCGAGGCAGCCTCTGCCCGGCCGGGGGGGCCGCGGCCGGGGCCAGAGATGCCGGCGTCGTGGCGACGTCGGCAATCGAGGAGGCGATCGCGGAGGAGCTGGAGCAGCAGGCAGAGGAGGCGCCAGCAGGGGCGCTGGCGAGGACGCCGGGCAAGCGGGCTCCGCGGGGCCCGCCGGCTGAGGAGAGGCGGCCGCGCTCGCCGCTGCGCGAGCCCTACCGCTCGCGGTGCCCTGCGTGCGTCGCGGGACGTGGGGTCTCGGACGAGCGCGTCAGGGTCGCGCCGCCGGAGGGCCTTCGCTGCGGTTGGCATTGGCTACGGCTGCCTACTTGCGGGAGGCGGAGAGTCAGCGGCTGGCGCCGCCCCGCTGCTGCGCGGCAGCGACGCGAGGCACAAGAGGCACAGCGGCAGGACGCAGCCGTCGAAGGGGGCTGAGGGCGCCTGCAGCGCGGGCGCGACGAGTGAGATGGCATCGAGAGCAGGTTTCAAGATGGTCATGCCCAGGAGCGACGGCGAGAGCTCGATCACGGCGCTGAATGGCCAGATCGGGCGGCAGCTGACGGGCAAGCGCGGGGCCGAGGTCGCCCCGGAGGGTTCGAGCGCGGACCGACTCGCCGTCGGTCGGCCTGGCGAAGCGCGCAGCTCGGGAGATAAAGGCGACGGCGAGGTCGCTGGCGCGGCGAGGACCTGGCGCGGCGAGGACTGCCCAAGGACTCCCCGTCGGTCGCGTGGCCCTCGCAGCGGGCGGCGATGACCATCAACGCGGGTCGCCGCGGCGCGGATGGCGAGACGCCCTAGGAGAGTAATTGCGGGGGGCCCTGCAGACTGGCTCTGGCTGGGTTCGGCGAGATAGTGCTGTGCAGTCTTGCCTGTCGGCGGGAGTGCGAGCGGGCTGGTCGCGCGGCCCCGGCTGGTCGCGCGGCCCCGGCCCGGTGCGTTCTCGGGGGTCGCCGCGGAGGCCGCGACGCGCTCGTCGGGGGCCCGACAGGCGAGGCGCGCAGAGCGCGGGCGTTCCGACGCTTGCCTGAAGAAGATCGAGTTGATCGAGACCTCATAAGATGGAGCCCAGGGTCTGCCTTGGAACCAGCATGGAGTGCAGGCGGATGCTGGGCTCGCGCCTGGAGCGCGAGTCGCTGCGGAGCCAGCAATTCCACCTGGAGATCTACCCGCGGCGCCGGCGGCCCCTGACGCGGCCCCGCGGCGCGACTGCATCGCGCGGGGCGACCTGGAGAGGCACGGCTGCGCCGAGAGCTGCGCGGGCTGCGACGCCGCGCCGGGCGAGGAGACGCCGCGCCCGTGAGGGCGGCTCGCCAGAGGAGGAGCGCGAAGGCGCTGGTAGCGGTGGTGTGTTCCAGCGCGCGGGGACGCTCATGCAGGAGGTTCGGCTGCCAGCTCGATTCGGAGGGCCTCGCAGAGGTCTACAACCTGGGCTGCTTCGCCAGGCGAGGGCCTCCCAGGCGCATGCTTGGAGGCGTTTGCGACGTTCGGGAACCCATCGCAGTGATTCAGCCGTTTGATTGGCATTCCCCGTCGTATTCACAGTTCCCCGCATTCGATGGTGATCGTTGCCTTATTCATTGCTGTTTTGCCGATCGGCGCGGGCCCTCGCACCCCCACCTCCCCCCCCTCCAGGAGTAGATCTTGTCTGTTCTTGGCGCCTGTTTCGAGCAGGTGGAGTCTCGCCCATAGGACGCACTGCTGCAAACAGTCACATTCAGCAGAGGTCCGGAGCCAGAGCCCCCCCCCCTTTCCCTGCTCCCTTCCGCCCAATGCCGAAGCGCATAATAAGAAAACGATCGCAAGCCAGAGCGCGAGCCTGCAATCTGCCAGTGTTCGGTCGAATCCTTTGCCCTCCTCTTGTTCCCCGATGTGTTGCCTCCTCCCGGCCTCGCTCTGAGGCTCCGCCGCTTCCTCCCTCCTCTTCTCCGCCTAATTCAAGCTTCGCGCGGCCCGCTTAGCTTCGACCGGAAGAGGTGCGCTCTCGACCCGCGGATCAAAAATTGTTCCCCGATGTGTAAGCTCCTCGCTGGACGGGCCGATCGCCCGGCACGCGCGCACAAGGAGGGCGATAGGGGCGTTGCGTCATGGGCGGGGGGGCGATCACTTTCAGTCGGGCGTGTCCTTCGACAGGAGGGGCATTCTAGAATAGTCAAATCATGGTATGGCGATGTTTTGTTTGACTATTCTTGACTCTTTCTGCCCACGTGTTGATGATTCTTCCTATTTCACCTCCAAAATCCTCCTTTGGGAGGACACGCCCGACCTAACGATAACAGGAGGCATGAAGAAACGTGCACCTCTCGTGCCCTACAGTGGTCCCCTGTGGCCCAACAGGGGCACGAGAGGTGCACGCCCCCCCCCTGCTCCCCCCCAATTTACCGCCCCCCATTAGTCATCGCACATGACGAATTTCGCACAAATGCGCAGGTTTGGGAGATGCCGTGCGGATCGTCAGGCCCAGTCGTTGCCCCCCCCCCCCCCCCCGCCCAGGTTGGGCGCTCCTCCCAGCAGCTTCGGCGCGTCGTCCGCCAGACGGAGTCTGACTTCCTCGTCGAGGCGACGCGGGCACTCTCTTCATCTTTTTTTTTGCGTCAGTGTTCAGAGAAACCAGAACTGCAGAAACGGAAACCTTTGGAGTTCCGCGCGGATTTCTTGGATCGGCGCCGGAGCCCACTGGCGGCGCCTCCGGCACCGCTACTGGCGCGCTCCGCGCGCCAGGATGGCGGGTCCAGCGCCGATCCAAGAAATCCGCGCGGACCTCCAAGATTTTATGAGCATGCAGCTTCCTGTTCCTTGCGGGCAATGTATATATCCACATCCAGTGCGTCTTGGAGTTTCGGGCTCTGTTTCCCAGAAACATGAGGCGCACTGGGGATGGATTTAAATATGGCCCTAAAAGGTTAAATTGTTATGCATATCCAGTGCGTCTCGGCCTTGCGGCGCCCCTTCCAAGAAATTCCATGACGCACTGGATATGGTCATAAGTATTGCCCGCATTCCTCTCTATGTGCGAAAGAAGACTCCTCCCCGCCGCCGTTCTCCCGATGTCGCTCCTCGATCAGCCGAGTATCTTGCTGGCTGCTCGGTGTGGTGCCCAGGAGGTAGTGGGGAACTCTGGCGGCCTCGGGCGTTTCCGCACCCAGATGCGCGCATCGTGCCATGGGTCCTCTAATAAGGGCTCCTTTCGATTCCTCCGGTTCGATTCGATTTGATTTCGAAGGCCTCCGATTCCAATTCGATTCGACTTGGGATTCCGATTTGGGTTCCGATGTCTTCTAGGAGTCATACTAGAATGCCGATGTCCGCCGATTCGACTTTTTCCCGACTCGGCTGCCGATTTCCGCCGATCCAATGGATTTCGATTGCCGATCCGACTTATCGATTCGATTCTGGACTCTCCTGCCTAATTACGGTGGGGCCGTTCGTCAGGGAATCGTGTGCCCAGGAGGCTTCAGACCATGGAGGATTCCTGACCTGATGCGGGCGGCGGTGACACCTACTGCCGAGCCTCAATCGATGTTCCATCAGCCTCTAGGCCCTGGAAGTCTTCATCCAACGGTTCCTTATCCGATGCCCTCAGCGTGCCGCACAATCTCTCGATCAACAGCGGCCCCCAGGTCTGCACCGTCTACTGTCGCGTGCTGTTCTACTCTTGGGCAAGCGTTGGGGGGGGGGGGCCAGTACCCGCGCGTGGTGCCGGTCCAGGCCGAGCAGCTTCGACCCCTCAGCCACGATCCAATGGCATCGTCGACACCCCGTGTCTGCACTTGTATGCTGGGGGTTGCTCGCCTTTGTTGATTGTCTTGGCCTCCCAGATGGGGTCGGAGTTGGTGGGGTCGGATGATCGCGCCGCATCGTTGTTGCATCGCCGATGCATCGGCGATGCGGTTTGATGTGGAGCCCGATGTTCTTCACGCCGACGTCGCCGATGCATCGCCGACGTCGCCGATGCATCGCCGATGCATCGCTCATACATCGCCGACACATCGTTGATGCGGTGCGATCCTCCGACACCACATAATTTCTCCAACCCTATCTAGGAGGCCTCTATTCTTAGGGCTACCTGTCGTTGCGGATTATGCTGTCGCACTTTCTCGTCGCATCTCCGTATCATATGTTACTTTAGCCTCACTTCTCACTTTCGCTCCACTTGGTATTATTCCATGTGTGTTATTGATGTCGTGAGCTGTGCCTGTCCTTTCGATGCTGCACATGCGTCGATCGTAAAACGAGCAAGATATCGGTGCCGCGGGGAGCGGTTTTGCGGTGTCCGTCTTGGGTTGATCCGGGGCCACCTCGAGGAGTTTCGGAGCTGTTTGGAGTCCTTTTCTGAGGCGGCCGTCTTGAGGCGGCAGTGTGTCGTCGAGAGGCAATCGTTGGAGGAGGGATCAGGGCAGAGGTGGGTGTGCTCCTGCACCGCCTGGGCGCCGTCTTGGTGAGCCCATCATTCGTCCTGGGGCCGACCCAGAGGCAGCCTGAGGCATCGTTGGCAAGGCGGCGGTTTCCAGGGGCACTTTAGGCGTGCTTCTTGGGGCCTAATTTGGTGCTTTTGCCGTCGGAGGCGGTCTTCGTACCGTCGTGTTGCGTCTTGCAGCTATCCAGGGGAGGTCATCAGATGCAGCCACCGATAGAAAAAGGGAGAGCAAGATGGAGCGATGGTGGGATGTACTGATGGGTGGATGGAGGGCATGAGGGAGGGAGCGAGGGAGGGAGGGGAGAGCTGAAGGCGGAAAAGCGCGCGCTGTCCGCCTGCGGGCCCCGCCCGGCGGGCACGGCGCCGTTGTGCGACGCCCGAGAGGTGCTCGGCTCCGTGCAGTTTGCGTCGCTGGTGGAGCCTGCGCCGCCGCCGCCGCAGGCCGCACGCCGCGGGCGCGGGGGAGGTGCGCTCCCGCAGCGGAGAGATCTGCACAGGGACGGTCGGGCCGGACGGAAGGGGGGGGATTGTGAAAGGAAGGGGTTACGAAACATGCTGCATGCAGCTGGTTTCGGCCCCACAGAGGGGCCCGTTCCTCGACACAGAGCCGCCTCCGGCGCCGGGAGGCGCCAGAAACATCAGCTGCGTGAGCTGATTCTCCAACCCTCCCTCTGCTATCCCCCCCTTCCTCAGGAGGGAAAAAAACACAGACACAATTAATCGTCGACTCCCCAGAAAATATAGGAAAATATGGGAATTGGGGGGGAAGACAGAAACCTAGAAAATATCGGAAAATATAGGGAATCCTTTTATTTGTGTGTATTTATTTGTGTCTCCTAGGGCCCCTTCACTTTCGCCCGACCCGAGAGGGGCACCCCAGACCTCCTCGCGTTGTGAGCCCACTGCGGCGGGAGGTCTCTCGCCATGTTCGGCCTCTGGGGGGCCCTTCACAGGCCTCGGGATTGTCAAAATCAGCAGGAAAAGAAACACACAGACACAATTAATCCTTGATTCCCGATGAAATATGGGAAAATATGGGAAGTGGGGGGGGGGGAAGACAGAAACCCAGAAACTATAGGAAAATATTGGGGAATATTTTATTTTGTGTGTATTTATTTGTGTGTCCCAGGGCCCCTTCACAAAAGACGAGTCAGGATGAAGAACTGGTCCCCGGGAAGGGGTCCGGATCTTTGGGGAAAATCGACGTTGTGGAACAATCACGACGTCGGGGGTCTGAGCGCAGGGAGGGGCACTCGAGCATCTGATGGGCAGGATGGGGTACGAAGGCATATGTGAGGTGAATCAGTTTCTGCTGATACAGACAAACCGCATAGCAAGGACGGGCAACCTTCCCAAGGGTAGCCTTGCATCCTTGCCCCTCTGGCCCATCCTTGGCCACTTTCGCTGGCCAACCTCGTTCGAAAGGCGTTCACATGGGCCTCCAAGGCCCTTGCATCCTTACCGCGCATCCTTACAATATGGGCCGACTGCGCAGGCACGGGGGAGGTGCGCTCCTGCGACTGAGAGATTTGTGCAGGGAGAGGTACCCGAGCATTCGATGGGGAAGATGGGTACGAAGTCGCTATGTGAAGTGGGTCGAGGAAGGAATAAAAAGCGCCACAAACATAAACTTTTGGCGCTCCGCGCGGATTTCTTGGATCTGCGCTGTGGCCCCCGAGGCGGGGCCTCCGGTGCCACCCTGGTGCTCTCCGCGCGCCAGGGATGGGGGCCCAGCGCAGATCCAAGAAATCCGCGCGGAGCGACAAAAGTCTATGCTTATGCCGTTTTGTCTTCTACTCGAGCATTCGATGGGCAGGATAGGGTACGAAGTCACACGTGAAGTGGAGCAATTGCTGCCGATCTGCTCAAGCACGTCTGAGGGCATTCTTGTTCCACCACGGAAGCACCACAGCTCGTCATCAATTGTTGTTGATATGCGTAAGCGTGTCGAAGGGCGTGTTTGTTTCCACCACAGAAGCATCACAGCTCGTCATGTTGCTTCCGAGCTAGCGCGTCGCTTTATTGAACGCTGCGCCCACCTGTGGCTCTCGGCACTGGGTGCTGTTGCTCAAGTTGTGGCAAGAACGCTCAGAATAATCAGCCTCAGAGTGCCTCTTCATTGCCAGTGCAGAGCTGCCATGCGTAGTCACTGCACGTTCGGCATGCATCCTCGAAGCTAACTCCAGCCATCCCACGTTCGGCAAGGGCCCCCAGCACATGTACTAGGTGACTGGCACTGGCCTTATCCTCCTAATATCCAGAGCAGTCCGCCGCCTGGTTTCAGCACGCTTGCTCTGCATCGTACTTCTTGGACCGCTCCCGGCTTCCATTCCGGCTTCTAGTTGGCTCTGCATCGTACTTCTTGGACCGCTCCCGGCTTCCATTCCGGCTTCCACGTAGCTGTGCCTTCCCTCCGTTCCCCTCGGGGCTCTCCCGGGCGTTGCTGGTTTCAAGCCGATCCCTTGAGCGCGGTGCTGGCTGAGAGTCTGCCCGCGTGCCTACGCCACAGGGTCGCTGAAGATTGGCCCTCGGAGTTCCCGTCGGCCCTCCTGAAAGGTCAGGGGGCATTCCGCCCGAGCTCCTCGCCTCCATCGCTGGGTAAGATCGGCTTGGGTGCTGCTCCTTGTCTGGCTCACACTCTTGCGTCCTGGGTTGGAGCGTTCATACTGTCTCGAAGAAGAAGACGAAGAAGGAGATGAAGAAGAACAAGAAATCGCTATAAACACAAACTTCCGGCGCTCCGCGCGTTTTTTGGGGATCTGCGCTGGGCTCCCCCGGCGGCGCCTCTGGCGTCGCCCCTGGCGCGCTCCGCGCGCCGGTGAGGTGTGTGCAGCGCAGATCCAAGAAATCCGCCTGGACCGTCGAACGTTTGTGCTCATGCCTTTATTTCTTCTTTTGACTCTTGCGTCCTGGGTTGGAGCGTTCCTGTTGTCTCCGCGCCAGTAAAGCAAAACCCACAGCGTTGGCCCCTTGGTTCGAGGGCCCTTACGGACGTTCCCCCCCCACCCCTTCCCCACCTCTGGAACGGCGGCGGCTTCCCGAGAGGCCTACAGCGGCGTGCGGCCACCTGGCCTGGCGTGGGCAGTTGCGTTCCGTTCAGGGGAGCTCGGGGCGTCCGGGGCCTGCGAGCCCAGGCGTCTGGTCGCTCGATGTTGTCGAGACATGGGTTCGGTAGCAGATCATGCGAGCCCTGCATACCCTCTGAATTTCGTCTCTAGATTCGGCCAGCGTCGATTAGCGTCTGGGAGTCGATGGGATAGTGCCGATTTAGCCTCGGCTAGCGTCGATTAGCGTCGATGTGGCGTCGACCAGCGTCGACTAGCGTGGATTAGCGTCGATTCGCCAGAGCCGTCAGGATGGTATTGGAGGCTCCCATGAGTTGCCACCGAACAGGCCCGGACCTTACGACTTCTTTCGGAGCCATTCATCCTGATTCGGCTTATTGACGATCCCGGAGTCCGCATTTGGCAAAAGACCGGCCGTATCGAGCTGCTTCTAGCCGCCGGATGTTTGGGAAGCATGCGTCCAGAAGTCCTCCGGAAAAGCTTCTAGAGGCTCCCAGAGGCCCAGAGAAAGGCAGCAGAACACCCCAAACCTCATCATTGGATCCTTGAGTAGCGTCTCTCGACGATGCCGATCGACGAGCGTTGGGGGCCCTCGACCCGTCGTCGGACGGGGATAGGGCCAGGATAAATCCGTTCCAGATCGTTCCAGAACGCTCTCAGAGCGTTCCGGAAAGCTCTGAGAAGGCCGCGGCGCCGGAGACATCCTCCAGGTCCGCCGGATCTCAGAGATTCTCGATTTGTCTTCGCCCGATTTTATCCTCGTTGTGGCTTTGTCTTGCATTGGGCCTGGTCGATTCGGGGGATTACAATATCCACCTCAGATCTTGACATGGCCGAGCTTGAGCCCAAGATCGTTGTGCATGCTTCCGTGAACATGCACATGCGCGGATCCCGGGCCAAGCAGCTCGCGCATCCCCACCAGCCCATCCAGGAACGATGCCGGTGAGTTGCGCTTTATCGGGGGAGCGTGGCATGATGTGGATACCTAGGGAAACCTCATTGGACTAGAGGCCTCCTGGATGCCCCTCGGATTTGCTTTGGTGGACTCCTGGTGGCCGCTCAGGGTGTCTTGGAGACCTCTTAGGGGGCTCTTGGGGGCCTCTTGGGTCGTCTTGGGGGTCTCTTCGGGTACCTTAGGGGCATCTTGTGACCTTCCTGCGACCCTCTTGGGGACAGTGGGGGCCTCCTTGGGAACATCATGGAGGACATCGATTGACGAGTGTGCTCGCCCCAGTTAGCCCCCCCCCCTCCCTCTGGAACCCCAGAAGTCGCCTCTTGGTGCCCTCTTAAGGTCCGTGGGGAGGGGTGAGGGGGGGAGGGGCCAAGCTACCCACAAGCCATACACTGGAGACCCATGCCAAGAAACACCCTGCTTGCCTCCAGGGTGCCCTGGACTTTTTGAGTTTCGATGGTTTTGACATGGACGCCTTGACGTTCCCATGCCAAAAATCAACGGACGTCCTGGGGTCTGAAGGTTGGGTTTCTTGTGGAAGGCTTCTTGTGGTCAGGCCCCCACTGTGCTGCAGGCGATCTCATCCACTCCCACCCGCCTTCCCAGCACACATGAGTGGCACCCGAGTCTCTGCAGGGAGACGGGCCGCCATCGACAACCATGAGGAACCAGTGCGAACGTGAGCCAGATTTAAGACGGGCCTGTCCCTCTATTCAAAAAAAGTCAAACAATAGCCTGGTGATGATTTGTCGATTGTAATGTTGTTTATGATGATTTGTGGAGTATCTTTTATTTTTCTTCCAGAACCCGCCTGTAGGGGTACATGCCCGACCTAAACCCAGATGCGCGACGCCTGATAAGTGCGCCGCGCGTGCCAGGCCCCCCCCCCCACACCATCCCCGAATCACCGTGCGGCATGCTCGCCGGGCGGCCGCGTCAGGCCCAAAGAGGTTGCAACGTCGTGGATTTCGCAGTGGCTTTTGACAGGGACAGTTGGACTGCACACAGGGCAACATGCTAACACGCCCCTCGCTCCTGTCAACGAGAAATACGTGACGTGTTCGGGGGGCGTATGGACATGATCCAGGTGTTGCCGCACAGTGTCTTGCATGTTGCTTTGAAATTGGATAAGGGGAGTTGGCATTGTCTTTGGCTTGTTGCAGATCGGGTGGGGGAGGGGGTGCTGATCAGTAAGGAGTAGGGATGTATCAATAAGGAGAAGGGGAATCATGGGGGTCGCAAGAGGACGGGCCCTAAACCACCTGCTCCCCAGAGGGCAGGTGATCTTCCCAGGAGAATCCAGCCGTGGAGAGGATGAGCTCCCCAGTTGAGGACAGCACAACCCACTCCCTCTCCCAGCCAGGACCCCCACTCCCAACCTGGTGATCTCGGGGGTCCTGGCTGGGGGTTGTGCTGGATCCTCCCGCCAAAAACCGCCCCCAGACCCTGTCGATCACCAGGTCGGGAGGTGGGGTCCTGGCTGGGGGTGGGGACGCCCCGTGCTGTCTCCACCGAAGGCCCAGGAACAGCGAGGGTCGTGAAACGGCCTCGAGCCTCGCGTCCCCATCCTCCCTGCTACAGCTCCGAGCGGCTACCCGCGCGCGCTCCGCGGATGGACGGGCGGGCCCGGCAGGCGGAGCCCAGCGCGCCCTGGGAGCGGCAGCCGCAGCGCTCGCCGCCGGCCCGCCAGGGGCCGCCTCTGTCCCCGGCTGCACGCAAGAGCGGCCTTTCGCCGGAGTGGCCTCCGGCGCGCAAGCTTGGTCGGGGGCGCGGGAGGGCCGGGCCCAAGCGCACAGGCCGTCACTCTCGCGCCGCATGCCTCGACGGGCGAGCCGCGCACCAAGGGGTCACTCTTGCCTGGGGTCGCTCAGGCTCCAGACCTCCTGGATGGGGTCGGAGCAGGTGGGGTCGGAGGATCGCGCCGTATCGCCGATGCATCGGCGATGCGGCTCGATGTGGAGCCCGATTTTCCACACGTCGGCGCGATGCATCGCCGATGCTTCGGCGATCTGGCGCGACCCTCCGACCCCATCTGCTCGGACCCCATCTGGGAAAGGCCTCTGCCCACGCGTGCAGCACATCCTCTCCTGGGGGCCCTCGTGCGCCCCCTGCGTGGTGGGCGCCCGCGGGGCCCATCCAGAAGCCTGTCGAGGCCCAGCGCTGCGGTCGGCGTTGCAGAGATCTCGCGTGCGACGTAGCGCCGCGGGCCATCCCCCGCCTCGGGGGCGGCATGCACCGAAGAGGCTCTGGCGGGAGGATGGCGTGCAGAGACGGGGCCCTCACGGGGGAGTCGCCTCACATGCGTAGCGTGCTGCTCGGAGCTCGGTGCTGCACGCCATCTCTCCCCACGCCCATCTCGTGAGTTGGGCTCCTGGCGCCCGGGGGGCCCGAGGGGCCCGAGAGGCCCCGGACCGGCCACACGCAGGAGTGGCCCCTCGCCAGAGTGACCTCTGGCGTGCGCGGCTTCCGGGGAGCCACGGAGGCCTCCCGGGGTGGGGCTGGGCGGGGGCGAGCCCAGACACGCAGGCCGCTGCTGCGCGCCGCATGCCACGGTCGGCCAGCCGCGCACCGGAGGTGGCGCTGGCCCAGGGTCGCTCGGCGCGTGCGGGCGACCCCGGGGTGGGCCCAGGACGGGGCTCGAGCTCAGCAGTGTTTCGACGATGCCGTGGGCCGTCTTCGGCTCGATCCCGATTCGGCACCGGAGGAGGGGCGAAGACAAAAGAACGAGGGCGACAACGAGCACAAGACGAACACGAGACACACACTGTTTGGCTCGAGCCCGGGCCCCAGAGGCAGCAGGCGGAGAGGCCCGGGCTGCGCGCCGGGGGTATGTCTGCTCGCGTTGGGGTGTCGGGCTCAGGGGGGGCCATGTCTGTGGACAAGATCGATTCATACGGTGGGGGGTGCTGGTTCAGGAACGAGGATCCCTATCCGATGAGGGCGGCGGTGATGCCCATGGCCAATCCACGATCGGGGTTCCACTGGCTTCCAGACCCTGGATGCCTTCTCCAATGTTTCCTCATCCCTTATTCCATGCCCCCACCGTGTCCGTACCCACTGCGTCTCGGACTTCCCTGGGAGCGGGGCGCCAGGAGGCCGAGGCGCGGTGTCTGCGGATAAAGTCAGGAGGGAGAAAAACACAGACACAATTAATCTTCGATTCCCCAGAAAATATGGAAAACATGGGAAGTGGGGGGGGGGAAAGACAGAAACCCAGAAAATATGGGAAAACATAGGGGAATTGTTTTATTTGTGTTTATTTATTTGTGTGTCCTGGAGCCCCTTCATAAAGGATATCTATCTTCTGGGGGCCAGAGTTCTATCACATCCACTGCGCCACCAAAGGGGGCCCGAAACTGCGAGGCGCAGTGGATATTCGGCGGCGAGCGAGGGGGGGAAGTGAGAAGGGGCGGGCCTTCTCGGAAGCCTCGGACATCCCCTGGCCTTTTCAGAAGTTGCTGAGCCTTCCCCGGCGACAGAGAAGACTCTCAGAAGGCGTGGGGGCCTCCGAGAAGTCCCGCCGCCGTTGAGAAGGCCTGCTCCTCCTCGCTCCCCTCCCCCATCCCTCGCCGCCGAGGCATGGATACGACTACTGCCCGCGCGTGTGGGCACCGGACCGCCGAGAGCCGATCGGGGATATCTAAACAGCGGCCAGGGTCGGCCCCGGGAGGGGCCCGAGGGGACCCACTCTGAGCGATTGCCTCGTCGGGAGGGTGGGCCTCGGGGGCTGCCGATATGCATCGGCGCCGATGCTTTTTCCGTCGTCTGCGAGGGGGCCCTCGCCGCCACGGCGCCGCATTCGGCGAGTCCTCTCTGCCAGGGCACGCCTCGGGGAGGTCCAGGCCGGTATATGCGTCTGCTCCCCCAGCTCCGAGTGCGCACCGGCAGCACCGCTGGCCGGCCAGTCGTGCAGGGGCAATGGGGCCCTGAGGTTTTGTGCGCGCGCACGTTTGTGCATCGGATTTCCATCCGCGCCCGCGGGGGTCCCTGTTTTCAGCTGCTTGTAGCGAGTCATGCCACCGTGCCACCGCAGCATTCGGTCTGACGACGCTTTGAGCACCAAAAGGCCTTTACATGGCACTCCTTGTGTTTCTGGCTATTCATTGAGAGGTTCTGA